GCTGTGCACCTGGCAGCAGCAGCACCAGCAGGGAAGAGAGGGCAGAAGCAGTTGGAGGAAGGTCGTGTTCGGGTGCATTGTGGGGCACGGTCACTGGGCCAGGGGCTTCTGCTGGGGAGCGGGGTGGAGGGGAAGGGGTGCTGCTGCCTCAGGTGGTCTAAGAGTCTGGGGGGACTTTGCCAGTTACTGCAGGGGAGTGAGGGCAGGAAGCGCTGGTCAAGGAGAAAGTGCCTGAGCTTGGCAGTGCTGTGCGGCGGTAGCTGAGAGTTTTGTTCAGGTCTCAAACAGGAGCAAACCCAACCTCAAAGAGCTGCCCAGTGTCACTGATGCTCAGTTTATCTGGGGGCTCCCATGTGAACCTTGTGCACACAATACAGGAGGAAGACTAGGCAGTGAGACAGGTATATGAGGCCAGGTTTTCAAAGCTACTTAGCTCCAATCAAACTGCCTGAACAAGGGCTGGATTTCAGCAGCACTTCCTGTGCTGAGCTCTTGTGGAAATCTGGCCCCACCTGGAGGAACAGAGCTGCTTTCGGTGGCAGGGCCCATCATGGTAAAACCACAGGTATTTCTGGGGCAGTCCCTGACAGCAGATTGCCTTGTACTCCTGCCTTCAAGAACTCGCTGTCTCCCTGAGCTTTAGCCTTCCTCCTACTGTAGAGAACCTTAAATGAAACTCTTCTCTCACTTCCCTCCACTGGGCAACACTCTCTCTTCAGCTCTGTAACTAATACTCCCATGCCATTTCTTTTCCAGCTTTGGGCGCTGACCAGCCCCATGGAGGAAGAGCAGCAGGTATGTGACATTGCAACAGGCCTGTTATCACCGACTGGCAGTTCCTCTAGAGCTGCCAGGGGTTTGACTAGCTAATAGGAGTAGTGAATAGCACACCTGAGACCATAGTCCTTCCAGATCCCAGAACGGGTTTTCTACATCCAGACGGAGCCGTTCCAGGATCACACAAGTCAGGTGAAAACATGAATCAGGGCTCCGCCATTTTCAGTTGATTCCCCCAAATATCACAATTTCCTGTTATGTTCCTTCTTGCTTTGTCACCTAAATAGGGGTCATCAACTATGTTCCATGAGCTAGATATGGCCCGTAGACCCACTGGATGTGCCCCTTGGAGCTGGAGGGCTTTGCCCATACCCATGCCCATGCTGGGGCTGAGCAGTGAGGAGTTGTGATAGAGTTGGGCAGGTGGAAGCTGCACCTACATCAGCACCACGACTCCTCATGCCCATCCTCCTGGCTGCAGCACAGGCTCAGCTTCCAGGCAGTGAGGAACTGAACTGGGGCTGGGCAACTTCCAGCTGTGCTTGCTCTGCAGCTGGTGGGTGGTGAGAAGTGGCAGCAATGCAGACACAGCTTCCAGCTGCCCAGCCCTGGCTCAGTCCCTGACTTACTTGGAAGCTGTGCCCACATGGCAACCAGGGAGCTGAGGGATGGGGAGAAGTGACAGCAGCACCGTGCCCCAGTGCAGACGTAGGCAACTCCCTGCCTCTCCCCCCTGCCCACACTGTAGATGTGCCCCTGAAGTTGCCCAGTTTGAGGCCAGGTTGTTCTGGCCCATGGCTTTTAACAGTTGCTGGGCCCTGATCTGAAGTGGTTTGTATTGCTGCTGTGCCCTGCATTACTGGCTTTCACTGTAGAGGGTGCTTCATTTCACCAGTGAGTAAAGGGACTATTGAATATACACACACAGGCCGTGTCCACACAAATGCAAATGTGCATTTTGAGGCACTGCAAAACACACCCTGTGCACATTTGTTGGTTTTCTGTGCTCCATATTTGCAGCTCAGAGCCAAATACAGATACCAGGAAATCCCAGTATAAAAAAAGCATGCTCCAGCTGTCAGCCAGGCCCTGCGTGCCCAGATCAGCACCGCCGTAGCCCCAGGAGGCCCCCAGGACCCCTACCCCACCTGCAGCACTTTGCCTCCCTCCAGAGCACATGTGCAGGGGCATTCCTCAGAGACAACTAGTACCAGCAGAAATACGAGCTGCTGCTAGCTGTCCCTGGGGAACTCCCTCATGCGCGCTCGTCGGGATGTTCCCAATCCCAGAGACTTAAAAGTAATCATTTTTGCCTGCATCCTAATTCCAGTGGGATATAAAGAAGCACTACAGGACCTCCAGCTAGTTGATTGGGGGATAGTATATGAGGAAATGTACAATACAATTAGGTAAAGACACCATTTATTCTTGTTAAATTAACTTTATTGCAGCATTAATAAAGACTGTTTTATTACCCTGAACTTCTACTGCAGGATATCTAATGCTTCATGTCTCTCGCCCAGGTTACAGGGAGGAGTACACTGCACACATACAGGACAAGTATGGAGTAATAAAAGACAGGAACTCTCTTCCTGGTGAGAAAGTAATTCTAGACAGCAGATACACCAAGCTGATTATTGTAAAGGAAACACGTGCCAGAACGGAAAGACAACATGAAATAATGGCCTCAGGACAGAGACATGCAGAAATCATGTATGAGCAAGAGAGATCCCTCACCATTGGTGACTTATTTGCAGCTGATGAGAAGGGGAAAACTCCGCGAATTGCTGTATTGCTGGGAGCTGCAGGGATTGGGAAAACACTGACAGCAAAAAAGATCATGGTTGACTGGGCGGCTGGAAAGCTTTACAACGAGAAGTTTGATTATGTTTTCTACATAAACTGCAGAGAAGTTAACTTTGACACGGAGCAGGGAAGTGTTGCAGATTTGATGCTAAGGAATTGTCCTGATCGACATGCACCGATTGAAGCAATGTTGGGGAATCCCGAGAGACTCCTGTTCATAATCGATGGTTTTGATGAACTGAGGTTTTCCTTGGCTCAGCCAGAAGAGAGTCTGTGCTCTGATCCCTGGGAGAAGAAACCAATGGAAATCGTGCTGAGCAGTTTAGTCTGGAAAAAAGTCCTTGAGAAATGCTCCTTACTCATTACTACAAGACCAGCTGCTGTGGAGGAGCTCGGGCAGTGCTTGCACAATGAGCGCTACGCTGAAATCCTGGGGTTTTCAGAAACTGAGAGGAGAGAATACTTTGACAAATATTTTGGCGATAAAGGGAAAGCAAGAAAAGCCTTGAATTTTGTAAAAGCAAATGAAATGCTCTTCACCATGTGCTTTGTCCCCATTGTCTGTTGGATCGTCTGAACTGTCATCAAGCAGCAGATGGATGAGGGTGAGGAACTTGCACAGACTTCGACAACAGTCACAGGAGTGTACCTGCTCTACCTTTACAATTTACTGAGGGATCCAAGAAGCAAGTCAAAGCAACTCCTACAAACTAACTTGAAAGGACTTTGCTCCTTGGCTGCAGATGGGGTCTGCAGGCAGAAAATCCTGTTCGAAGCAGAGGAGCTGAAGAAGCACGGCTTAGACACATCTGACTCCCTCTTTCTGAACGAGAACCTCTTTCACAAAAGCACTGACTGTGAATGTCTCTACAGCTTCATCCACTTGTCTTTTCAAGAGTTTTTTGCAGCTTTGTTTTATGCTCTGGAAGAGGAAGCGGCGGCAGTAGACAAAGGCTCAGGAAATGACATAAAAGCTTTGGCAGCTTTGTTAGCCAACTGTGGGAAACCTAGAAATCATTTAATGTTAACAGTGAGATTTCTGTTTGGTCTCTTAAATGAAGAGAGAATGAAGGACATTGAGAAAAAACTGAGTTGCAAAATGTCATTGAAAATTAAACCAGAATTACTGAAATGGATTAAAACAAAACCCCAAAGACTTTGGGAATTGCATGGACAGAGGTCAGATTTTTCATCTCCGGTTGAAGAGCTTGATCAGCTTGAGGAATTTCACTGTTTGTATGAAATTCAAGAAGAAAAATTTGTGCAAAGTGCATTGAGTCATTTAACAGCAGTGAAGTTAAGTTTTCATACATTTACCCAAATGGATCAAGAGGTGCTTGCGTTCTGTGTAAGAAACTGCCACCAATTGGAATCACTTCTTCTAGAGGCTTGTCAATTCAGATATGAAGGCCTGAATGAAGATGTTTCAAGTTCCCAAAAGCAGCCACCTCTGTAAGTATTACCTGGGCTTCAAAAACACTTACATATTTTTTTAATGCAACACTGGGCGTGATGCTTCCCACGCCCTGTCCTGAAAAGTGGATTTCTGTGGTAGCTGGTGGCCCGGCTCAGCTCCCTGGGTAGCTGCTGCAGGGTCCCCAAGCGCAGAGCCTCCCCTGACAATCGAAACAACTTTGCAGACCGTTATAAATCTATGTTCATAATTTAATTATTTACAAGATAACATATAAGTAATACAAGAAAACAGATAATGTTACCAAACATAACCCGGCAATGGTGGCTTAAGGGTTAATACTTCTCAGATACACATTACATCGGGGGAAGAAATACAACTTACCCATGCTACATAAGGAACCAATAAATAAATAATTTGATACATCACCTAATAAACTATCAAGAACTTATTTACACACTTAGTCTATAACTTGTATGTGCAAGGGTAGGCATGGGGACGACACTAAACTATGGGGGAAGGCGGTCCCACTGGAGAACAGGTTGGGGATACAAGCCGACCCGCAGAGGCTCGCAAGGTGGTGTCGTGGGAGAAAACTCCCTGGAGTCTGTTGTCTAGCCACATAGGAACCAGGCAACATGGGTAAAAGGCATTTACTGCAGTTTATTTGCTCGAGCAAATGACCATAGCCGGAAAGAGGCAAAAATGGCCCCAAACAAAAACTACAGGACCTTTTTATACTTTTTTAAAAGATAAGGCAATAGTGATACATAGCACTTCCATATAAGGGTAAAAAGGCAGGAAAAACTTGACGCATGCGTGCTTTTACTTAGTCTGATACCTTTCCATAAGCAACAGAATTATAATGCTGTGTTAACAAAATTCCCCTATTTTCGGGTCGTCTAGTTATGTTTCACAAAACTCTTTAGTTGCATTTTTGGTCTCGCTAATTTTAAAACTTTTTTGCGAAAGCTAAGCAGCCGTTAACATGTTGCAGTAGGAAAGCAGCACAGTAACAGACATTTCCTGAGTACATGACCACTGTAGCACAGTAACAGACATTTCCTGAGTACATGACCACTGTCTTGGAATAACAGACATTTCCTGAGTACATGACCACTGTCTTGGAATAACAGACATTTCCTGAGTGCATGACCTCTGGTTTCTGAACAATGGCCTTTTGTTTGGTATATTTTCTAAATATACAAACAAGCTTGTTTCAGGGTAAAAGTTTCTTTGCTCACTACAGTGGGTAGACCAAAACCTGATGGCACTGAATGCAGAGAAGTGCAGGGTGCTCCACCTTGGGTGGAAAAACCAGTATCATACCTATAGGCTTGGCAGTACTACACTTGCTAGCACCACGACGAAAGAGACCTGGGGGTCTTGACAGACCTAAAGATCAACACGAACCACCAATGCAATGTCGTGGTCAGCAAAGCAAACCAAACTCTGGCATGCATCCATCGATACATCTCAAGCAAAGCCAGGGACATCATCCTCCCGCTCTGCCTGGCCTTAGCGAGGCCGCACCTGGAGTACTGCATCCAGTTTTGGGCCCCCACTTCAGGAGGGACGTGGATAAGCTTGAGAGAGTCCAGAGGAGAGCCACCTGCATGAGCAAAGGCCAAGGGAGCAAGCCTTACAAAGAGAGGCTGAGGGACACGGGACTCTTGAGCCTGGAGAAGAGACGGCTCAGGGGGACTTGGTGGCAGCCTATAAGTACATAAGTGGGTGCACCAGGAACGGGGAGAGCAGTTGCTCACCAGGGCTCCCCAAGGGATAACTAGGTCTAATGGCCACAAACTTCTGGAAGGACGATTTAGACTGGACATAAGATAACTTCTTTATGGTCTGCGTGTCCAAGGTCTAGAGTGTGGCAGAAATGCCCCCGTGGGTGCCCCTCTCCAGAGATCTGTCTCAGCCAGCCTGAGAGGCTGGTGTTGAATCCCTCAGGGCGGGGATCTCCCACCTTGTCTGCAGACAAAAGCCTGGTGCCTGAATGCTCTGGTCACCTGGGCAGGGGGGAAAGACCCGGCCCTGCGCGCGGGCCCAAGTAGCCAGGGATGCTTGGCAGATTGGTCGGTTTCTGGCCAGTATTGGCAGGCTCGCTTGGGC